CACAAGGGATTGATGATTTTTGGGCAAAAATCAAAATTAGGGTTTCGTTAGAATTTGGGGGTTTTCTTTCAAATTAGGGTTTCGAATCACACTGCATCTGTTTAAGAGTATTTCGGCTGGAACACCAGTGACTGCCTTAAAATCTGCCTGACAATACTTGGCAACCTCTGGTCCAACAATGTCACGTACTTCTTAAACTGTTTTTCTTTTTTGTTTTTGCCCTGTCATTACAGTATAATGAGCACTACTCGTATGGATATCTCCCAATACAATGGGAGGATCGACTTCAATACATGGAAAAAGAAAATGAAGGCTTTGTTATCACACAACAAAGTCGGGATCGCACTTGAAAAGGATGAGTCCAAATGGCCAGAAGAAAAGAAAAAGAAAAAGAAAAAGGCAGAAGTGGACGAAGAAGCATACAATTTGATCATTATGAACTTGTCAGACACCGTGCTACGAAAGGTGGATGGTGTGGAATCTCTAATTCCACTCTGGGGTAAACTCGAGTCTTTGTATGCTCTTAAATCTGCCCCTAATTTAGCTTTCTTGAAAGGTGCTTTATTTTCTTATAAGATGGATATAGCTAAATCACTAGATGACAATCTTGATGAATTCTTAAAAATGACCCTAGCCCTAAAAGGTACTGACCAGGAACTAGGAGATTCAAGCCTTGCTATGATTCTGTTGAATTCAGTACCTGAAGAATATTTAGTAGTTAAGAATGCACTCTAGTATAGTGGGACAGTACCTAGTGTGGACCTGATAGTTTCTGGACTAAAATCTAGGGAATTAGAATTAAAAATCCAGAAGCGTAATGGTAGCAACTTGTTTGTGAAAGCGGAAGTTGAGGTTGAGCAATCTAGTAAAGAAAATGGAAAGACTCACCAGAGAAATGTAGGCTTTAAAAATAAGAAGAACAGTAAAGGAAATGGTAGAACTAAGGGGAAATTTAGGAAATGTTTCTTCTGTAACAAGGTAGGACGCCTAAAGAAAATTTTTTATGATTGGATTAAAAAGAATAAACAGAACAATACAGAGACAAACCTAGCCAGCTCTAGTAGTAACCTAGAAATATCAGAAGCCCTTACCATTTCTAATACATCTAGAGGCAGTGAATGGGTACTAGACTCAGGTTGTAGTTTCCATATGAGCCCTAACAAGGACTAGTTCCAAAGACTTAAAATTGGGGAGCACGAAACTTTTTTTATAGGAAATAACCACTCTTGTGAGGTTCAAGGGATAGGGGATATAACCATTAAGCTAAATAATGGTAGGTTAGTATTACTAACTAGGGTCAGGTTTATACCTGAATTAAAACGAAACCTAATTTCCTTGGGAACCTTGGATGAATCAGGCTATTCTTATAAGGCACAAAATGGTTGTATAGAAGTCTACAAAATGGAAATGTGTTAATCAAGGGGGTTAAGAAAAATGGTCTCTATATATTGTGTGGACAGTTCTATCCTGATGTTTCTAATTCTGTTTTATTGTCTACTAACATATCTGCTGCAGCAAAATGGCACTTGAGATTAGGCCATATAGGCCAGAATGGTATGAATGCATTGAAACAGCAAGGTTATTTTGGTAGTGATGTTGTAACAACCTTAGATTTTTGTGAAACCTGCATCCTTGGAAAACAGCACAGGATGAGTTTTCAAAAGGGGACTCATCTTACTGCAAACTGTCTAGACTATGTCCATGCTGACCTTTGGGGTCCAGAAAAGGTGAAGTCACATGGAGTGAACATATACTTCCTCTCCATTGTGGATGATTACAATAGAAAGGTATGGATATACCTTCTAAGGACTAAGGATGAAGCCCTAACCAAGTTCAAAGGTTGGAAAACCCTTGTAGAAGCACAATTGGATAGAAAGGTCAAAACCCTTAGGACTGATAATGGTCTGGAGTTCTGTAACCTAGAATTTGACACCTACTGCCAAAATCAGGGGCTACAAAGGCATAGAACTGTCAGGGCAACCCCTTAACAGAATGGGGTTGCAAAAAGAATGAATAGGACTCTCCTAGAAAGAGTCAGGTGTCTTCTGTTCACTGCTGGGCTACCCAAGACCTTTTGGGGAGAAGCCCTAACTACACCTGTTTATTTGATCAATAGAAGTCCATCCAGTTCAATAGGTTTTAAATGCCCTAAAGAGAGATGGTTTGGAAGGAAACCTAACCTAAATCACCTAAGGGTTTTTGGGTGTGCAGCATATGCGCATACCAGAGAGGGTAAACTTGAACCTAGGTCTCTAAAGTGTGTCTTCTTAGGGTACTAGGATGGTACAAAAGGTTATAAGTTGTGGGAGAGAAATGCACCAGGAGTTAAGATCGTTATAAGCCGAGATGTAGTCTTTAATGAGCTAACCTTCCCTTGTAAAGTGTCTACTGATAATGCAGGAAACTCAAAAACAGATTCTGAACTGCTTGATCAAATAGAGAGATCACAGTTTGAGGTAGAGCCACAGAACCTGCCAGTGCACTTAGAACAACCTGAACAAACAGAACCGGAAAATGACACACTGTAAAACATTGGGGTTCAATATGAAGAAACTGTGCAGCCTGAGAACAATGAAGAAGAATAGGATGAGAACCTAGTAGATTACCTGGCTAGAGACAGGGTCAGAAGGGAAATAAGGCCCCCAAACAGATACAGCTATGTAGATTTGATCTACATAACCCTAGTGGCTGGGATAGAAACACTGAGATCTGAACCAGAGACATATCAGGAAGCTGTGAGTTCAAAAGATAGTAAAAAGTGGCTGGAAGCAATGAAAGAGGAGATGAAATCCTTAAGACAAAATAGCACTTGGACTCTGGTCCCAAAACCTACAGACCAGAAGCTAATTGACTGCAAATGGCTTTATAAACTGAAGGAAGGTCTAACAAGATCAGACCCTCTAAGAAACAAAGCAAGACTGGTGGCAAAGGGCTACACACAAAGGGCAGGTATAGACTTTACAGAAGTTTTCTCTCTTGTGGTTAAGTTTAAAACAATTAGACTTATGCTAGCTACAGTAACTCAATATGATCTAGAACTGGAACAGTTAGATGTTAAAACAGCTTTTTTACATGGTGAACTGGAAGAGAAAATTTATATGAGTCAGCCATTAGGGTTTAGATATAGAAACCCACCTGAGCATGCTTGCTTGTTGCACAAGTCCCTGTATGGACTCAAACAATCCCCTAAGCAGTGGTACAAAAGATTTGACTCCTTTATAGTGGGAATTGGGTTCATTAGGAGTGCTTATGATAGCTGTTTGTATTATGCTTGTTTTAATGACATACCCATGTACTTACTGCTATATGTAGACGATATGATAATAATTAGTAAGTCCAAACCTCAAATAGATGAATTAAAAGCAAAATTAAATGCTGAATTTGAGATGACAGATCTAGGATCTGCAAAAAGGATATTAGGGATGATGATTGATAGAAATAGAAAAGAAAATAGATTGAAACTACAAAAATTCCCATATCTACAGAAACTAATAACTAGGTTTGGTTTAAATGGTGCTAAAAATGTAAATGTACCCTTAGAAGGTCATTTCACCTTAAGCAAAGTTCAATCCCCCAAAAATGATGTAGATAGGATTAAAATGGAAAACATCCCATACTATAGTGCCATAGGATAAGTGATGTATTAAATGATAAGCACTAGGCCTGATCTTTCATTTGCAATATCTCTATTAAGTAGGTTTATGTCAAATCCAAGAATAGAGCATTGGGTTGCCTTAAAATGGACACTTAGATACATTAACACTACAATGCATGTTGGATTAGAGTATTGCAAAAGAACTCCTACACTTGATCTTGTTGGGTATGTGGATTCTGACTTTGCAAGAGATCGTGATTCAAAGAAGTCCACTACAGCTTATTATTTCAATTTAGGTGGAAACTGCATTAGCTGGAAATCCCAGCTTCAACCATTAGTGGCACTGTCCACAACAGAAGCTGAGTATGTGGTAGTAATTGATGCTTTCAAAGAGGCAATTTGGCTACAAGGGATTTTGAAAGAGATAAACTCGATGAATGGCCTTGTGATTGTATATTCTGACAGTCAAAGTGTCATTCATCTAAGTAAAAACCCAGTATACCATGAGAGGACGAAGCATGTGGATGTAAAGTATCATTTTGTCTGAGATCAGATTTCAAAGGGAACTGTTAACCTGCTGAAAATTCCAATTGAAGAAAATCCATCTGATATGGGAACCAAAGTTGTAACTGCTGTAAAGTTCAAGCACTACTTGAACATTCTTCACATCAACTGAATTCAGCAGAGCAAAGAAGGAATATGAGAACTGCTTGCTGCACCTGTTGGTTACTGACAAAGGAAAGAATAAGGCTTCAAGGTGGAGATTGTTAAATGTGAAGCCTTAAAGCGACACCATTTAACTTAAGCCAAGAATTTCCAAAACGACACCATTGTGACTTAAACCGACGCTCAATCCTGATCGTTGGTTTGAATCTAGATCTAACGGCTGAGGACTTAGGCTGAGTCAAACCTATAAAAGCTGATGACTCTTCAGTTTTTCATTAACGCGTTTTTCTCTCTGTTTTGATATCTCTCTGAGTTACAAATTAGGGTTCAAGATTAGGGTTTGTTCATGTGGGTGTAAATCTGCGGGAAATCTGTCCATTAAGTTGTGTTTCTTAGTAGGGAGGGAACCTGGTGTAGTGTTCTGATCTCAGATTGTAGGTTTATTGTTGTGGGTTCAAATCCTGTTTGATCTTGGTGAAATCTTATAAGAGAGAGAGGTTGAGGGTTGTAATCGTTCTTGATCGAAATAGAAAGTGCAGCGAGCATCCATATTCTGGAGCTCAACGTGGACGTAGCTTGTTCAATATTGAACAAGTGAACAAGTGAACCACGGTAAATACTGTGTGTTGAATCTGTTTGGTTTGCGTTGATTGTGTGTTTGTTGGTTGATGTTTGCTTGATTTGTTTATGATTCTTTACAACATTTCTTTCTCTGGACTTTTATACACAATTTAATCTATCACAATGAACTACTTTTTACACTGGACTTGAGCTTGAAGTTTCCTTCACAAGCTTCTGTTAGTATCTCAAATCTTTTATCTATATTGCTCTGATCCAGCGATGAATCTCCTTCTTGATCATGCATTTGAGATGGTTTGTTATGTCGTATAAGGTTGAACATCATCCTCTGTAACAAAAATGCACAGAAAGCAATCAGATTAAACCTATATTGCTCTACGAAAACAAGGGGACTAAATTTTAAGGAAAAAAAAATGAGAATGAAAAATAGATGCCCATGATGATACTAAATATTTTGTATGACTAATAACACCACTGCAATCAATTTATCGGCCTACTTTTCTCAGGTAGGCTAAATTTAAAGATAAACCTCTCTAGTAAAGTGTCTGCATTTCTTGTTTTAAGGGATAGTGAGGCAACACAAGATGGTAATATGATAGCCATTCTGTCAAAAGCCCAAAAGTGTGGAAAAAATTGCTTGTCTAAACTGTATATTCTCAATTTAATGTGACGTTTGTATTGAATGCTATCACAACTTCAATTAGTTCTCTGCACATGATTGCAACAATTACTTTTGACATAAGTGCAGATATTCAAGCATTTGACCCACACTAAAAGTAAGAGCATTCAAACAACTTGCATACCTCATGTTGCCTCTACCGGGAGTAGTCTCACAGAAGAGACTTTATAAGCTTAGAGTGTGTGCTGGATTTCAAGCCTGCTGAACATGCTGAAGTCACCAATCCGACCAATCGGTCCAAAAGTTTGGACCGATCAACCCAGGAGCCGTCCCCTTGACGGGGCCGAAGGGCGGTCTCGATATCGGAACATTGGTTACTCCATGTCAACAATCAACATGTCCTTTCTTCTTTATTTCTCTGTAGAATTCTTCTTCCTTTTTAGGGGTCAAGATCAAAACCCCAATAAACATATTTGGGCCTGCTTACTTCTCTAGGAAGACTTCTCATGTTTGGGCCCTTAAGTTCCTAAATCTCTCACACTGGCCAACTTTATACTTTTATATTATGGACCCTTATTCATTTATTTTAGGCTTATTGAACATTGATTATCATATTGGGTTTCAATATTCATTGTTTCGGGCTTAGTGAATTTACCCCTTTGAAATTGGTTTAAATTTTGAAACTCAAATAAATTAACACTTCCAACATTTAAATCCTTATTGAATGCATTCCTTAAATAATGAGCTCCTTAATATTTGTGATTTACTTCATGAATTTCCGTTTATCAATATGACATTTCGACCCCCACCCCTTATCTTTTTTTTTTTTTTTTAATTTTTAAATTTTTTTTTTTTAACGTATATTTTGCTTAACCCATGCTCTTTTGTTGATTGTCCCTGAGTTTTTGCCCTTTTCCAAACAAGAGACATGTATTGTCCCATAGCTAATTAAAAATATTATAATTATCTCAAGATTGCATCTTAAGGCAGTATTGATTTCTTTCTCTTGACCTAATCATATAATATTTTACTATATATTCTCATCATGTAACGGTATATAATATAATTGTTGATGCTTGATTTTGACACCAACGACTCGCATGTGTAAAGTGCTAAGTTGCTTTTAGAAATTACACGTGAATAAATATGATAATTAATGCAAAGACTAAATAATAAATAAAAGACGATTTTTAAAGTGGTTTGGATACTGAAGGCAAGTCTTACGTCCACTGTTCTTTTATATATGAGAGATTAAAAGAGGTCGTGTATAGAGCAGAGGTACAACAGCTGATTATTTAGATAGAATATCAAGTCAGTCTCGTTCTCGCAGGTTATCTTTGCTTTAAAAATATAGATTACAATCAAAGTGTGAGTTTTCTGTCTCAGAATCCCGAAAATGAAAGGGGGAGTCCTTTATTTATGGTAGAGGAATTCAAGGTAATGATTACAAATCTGCAAATAGGTAAGTGTCGTGCAAGTCTTTCCTTGCCTCCCATTGGCTGATAACTTAGGATATATCCTTAAGTTACCTGAGGCTTGGACAAGTGTGTGGCTCCCATTGACTTATAGACAAAACCTGAATCTACCAAGTTGGTGACAGCCGTATTCTCTTTGTCTTGGGGCGACGTGGCAGCTCTTGTACAGCGCAAAGCCCTCTTGAACTCTGATTAGAGCTAGCTGATGTAGGCTTACATCAACCCTAATTTTTTAGGCATAACAGAAGCTTCCCAATTCTTAAGGTTCAAGAATTGAATCTTGAAAACTTCATGATTATAACTTCATGCTTATGCCGCAATCTGAATTGTCCCAATGAGGACTTACCCGAACTAATAGTTGAGAATACCAAAACGACATGAGGATGCCAGCTTAACTTGACCAGCGAATCGAATGGAGGTCACGACATGGATCTTCGAGCATTACACAAGCGACCTGAGGTGATTGTTCCAAAGAGGTTCAACGACCTATGTCGGATCCTACTCAGTGCTATACCGATATGCTTCGAACTTTATCTGTCATTTGCAACCTAAAAACACTTAGATATTTTACTGTCGAAAACTAAGAATCACTTCGCTTTGAGCTTAACTCATGAAAAAGAGTGTTTTATTCGAACGACCTCTTTAGATATTATCCGTTGCGCTTGATAGCTGTCTTAGTCAATAAAATAAGCTTTATCTGATAGACGTGTCTTTGTGCAATAAGTGCTAGCCATGAGCATTAAATGCAAGGTATGCTGAAACGACATTCTCTTTTAAGGAATTAAATACAGATGAGGGTGGAATTAATATGGAAGAGATAATCACGTCGTCGCTTGGCGATTTCAATGAAGGGAAATGCTGGTTGATTTCCACGAAGCGTGACAGTTACTCTCCGAGCAGATTGATGACACGTGGTCGCAATCAATGGCTAGAAACGTGTCCCACCCAATCGTCACGTATAAAAGAAACCAAAAATCACCTTCTTCCCTATAAAACCCTAAGCCCATTCCAAGTTTCTCATAGAACTTGTTGTAAGTTGTTGTATGAGGGAATGTGTACGGAGACTGAGTCACCTCTACATGTCGCACATTTTTAGACTTTAAGAGCAATGGACACTCTTGAGGTAAGAACAGCAAGAGAGGGAAGCTTGCAGCCGTCGGGTACCTCGGTAGGTCCCGAGCTAGTGGTACGAACAACAATTATGGAGGAGGAGATACAAAAGGTGATAGAACAACTTGCAATCAACGTAAAAATCTACCAACACAGGTCACACACTGCTCAGGACCCTCTCGAGGGGATGACTGCGATCTCGAAAGCGATTTTTAAATGTGGGGTGAGGATACTCTTCCACCCCTACATTACATCAATTCTCGACCACTTCCAAGCCGCACCATTCTAGTTAAAGCCCAATGCATATTTGATAGCAATCGCTATGTAGATTGCATTTGGAGAAAATAATCTCGGTGAATCGACAACAGTGGAACTCGGCTGCGCCTATTATCTAAAGAGGAGTAAAGACAAGGATTCATACTACCTCTCTAAGTGATCAATGATTGAAGGAGGTATATTTGGTTACCCTAACAACGTCGGGGCTTATGAAACCAAATATTTCTTCTTTGAGTATGACGGAGTCCATAAATTTAGGGAATTGAGTAGGTTTTCCTTTTAATTCTCAGACTACCCATCTTCTATCTTTAACTCTCCTTTGATATCTAATATCTATAGATTGGCTCACTCTAATTGGTTTCAAACCTAACCTTTCTATCATCCCATAAGATATAAATGAATGAGTGGCTTCGGAATCAATTAAAGCATAAAGAGGAATTGCATGAAATAACAACTGACCAATAACAGCTGATGGACTGACCTCTGCTTCACCTTGTGCCATGGTAAACACCCTAGCATTAGTACCTCTGGAAGTCTGTGCTGCAGATGGAAGAAGAGCTTTACAATCTTTCATTAGATGCCCTTGCTACCGGTATCTATAACACACATTTGGGCCCAACTACTTTTCATATGCTAAGTACGTATATTTTCATCGTATATTTTCTTAGGTATACTAGTAGAAAGAAGTCATTACATTTTTGGTATCAGAGCAAAGATTTTGGGATTTGACAGTGTGCCATTCTCGCTGCCACGACGTTCCATAGCCGACCGTTGTAAGTTAAGTCTTTCCTTACTTTAAAGTGTTTTATGAGTTGATTAAATGTGGTTGTTATGTAGATGAAGTGTAGAATCCGAGCAAGTAGTAGAAAGTCAATGAGTACGGGGGAACACTCTAACCTGCCAGAACCTACTCCCCCTACCCTTGATGAAGCTAGAATTCGGGGGATTATACAGCAGGTCTTAGTAGAAAGATAGGGGAGAATTGAACCAGAAAGAATTGAAACCCTTGTTCAAGTACGCTTACTAGAGGAGAAAGAGAAAGGCTGGTACCTCAGACAGAATAGAATCAGATTGAGCCGATATATGGGTTCCCAAGTCAACATCAGCCGTCAAAATTTAAGGGTACAACGGACCTTTTAGTGGCAGAGGAATGGTTTACGTCTGTTGAGCGTATGATGGCACTGTTCCCCATGACGGATCGGGAAAAGATCCGGTATGCCAGTTTCTTGTTTCGGGGTGACGCCCGAATCTGGTGGGAATTGATGGAAGACACTCATGGTGTTCTTGTGATGACCTGGGGCTAGCTTAGAAGATTGTTTGATGTTGAGTACAGAATAGTGGACCGGGTACATGAGAAGATACAAGAATTTATCAGCTTGAAGCAAGGGTTGAGTTTAGTGAAAGAGTATTCTGTGAGGCTTAACTCCCTTGCGAGGTTTGCACTCGGTATAGTGAGTACCCCAGAGCTGAGAAAGGATAAGTTTGTCCATGAGCTGAAGCTAGAGATAACTCGGGATGTAATGGCAGGAGCTGAGCCCCCTCGAACCTATAGTGAAGCTTTGGAGAGGGCTTTAAGGGCAGGAATTTTTGTGAACAAGCTCACCCTAGTGGGACCAAGTGAACCATCTCCCGCTCTATAGAGAGAAAGAGTTGAGGTTGCAAGAACTAGAGAAGTGAAGAATAAGAAGAAGTTTCAGCCTAAGAAGAACATAAAAGATTGGTAGAGTAAACGGCCGAGAATAATGGAGTTTCCCCCATGTCCTAAATGTGGGAAGACTTATCCAGGATAGTGCCTGAGAGAGTTGGGCCGTAATGTGTGTTATAGATACCGGCAGCTAGGGCATCTAA